GCGTGGCTTATGTGGAGATGCCGCATCCTGCGCCAACGGGTAATTACAGATCATGATTTATGGCCAGCTGACCCGGCCCCAACAACAACAAAATCAGCCAAAAACAAAAGCAACACCAACCATCGATCGATCAGTTCAGCTCTGTCCGCCCATTTTGGCCCCTTTGGGGCAACTACAAAAACAAAAAAAAATCAAGAAGAAAAAAAAAGAATCTCAACTGCAGATGCGTCGCTCTGTCTTTGTTTTGCGTTTTTCGCATTTTATGCAAATAAATAAAAAGATCACTAAAGAAAAAGCAACAACACACATCCCACAACCAACATCCAACATCCATGTAGCAGAAACTGCAGGGCGAGTGTTTGACAAAAGTCGGGAATCTCGAGCAACGCCACCGCAGAGATTGATGAAGACCAGAGACCAGAGGACATCAAAACTATTCGCCGCACAGTCTTTTATGCACAGAAAGAAAAAGAGGGAATATTCTTTAAAAAATATATAATTTTTATAGAGTTTATTTACTGGCTTAAACTTAATTTAAAGCCAGTTGTTCCAAAACAAGAGGCCATGCAGAAAATAAAAGTTATAGCTTCCATTGGTTGGTTTTTCTGTCTGTTTTTTAAAGATTAAAAAAAATATATATCTCTGAAGTTTTAAAATCTAGAGGTACTTTAGTATTTATAAATACATTTTCAAGATATTCTTATAAATTGAATTATTTTTTTCCAAGATTATAATCTTTACAAATATTTATTTATTACACATTTTAATATAAAAAATATTTCTTTCAGTGCTTTAAACTAATTGTTTGCGAGTCCCAGTCACTTTATGGGCAAAATCCATATAATCCATCAAAGAACATCTCAGACGCTTCGTGTTACGTGTTTCGGAATTTCAATGTGAGATCTGTAGTCCAATTTTATAGTATTTCGTATTATTTTATTTCTTTCTTATTTTAATTTGATTTTCGTTGCAGTAGAAACAAGTGAGAAGGGCACGAGTGTTAACCAGAAGTGGTTTGTCATCGTTGTCATGGTCGAATTTAGTGAAAATTTTTGGCCAAAAACTATGCCTCAAGTGGCTGGCAATTAGAGGCTGGTGTTTTCTATTTTCGTTGCACGCTCTAATGGGATTATCAGATAGTTGTTAAAGCCCAGAACTTGACTGTGACGGTGGTCTGGCAAAATAAATACTAAAGTGCTTCTGAGGAGGTCACACCTATTATGGGATTACGAATGTAATTCAGACCTCAGACTTGGCACCTTGAGTTTATTTTTCTTAACAAGATCAGGAAGAAGGAAAAACCCTACTGGGTGGTATATCATAAAAATTATTACACTTACTGGCGATTAGGCGGAGAAGTCCTGGTTCTGGATTTTTTTTGCAGGAGGCTGAATTTTCCGCGATTTACCAATTGTCCAGGCGCCGTTTTTACTTATTAGGCCGTTTTTGGGCCACAGGTAAACCCTTTTCCGGGCAGGTGGAATCTTAAGCTAGGTCAACCTTGGCCAGGTCAACAAAGTCAGGGTCACCGAGTAGTGGGTCATAAAACGCGAACCCGAAAAACTGAAACCTACAGGCCCAGCTCTAGGAATTCCCCGGGCAAAATACAAAGCGTTTTGAATGATCGCCGAATAAGGGAAAAACGAGGGAAAAAGATCGCGGATCATCATCATGGGAAGGACAAGCCAAACAGAGAGACCCAAGCAGAGGTAATGGCGCCTACCTAAAGTCAAGAAGTCCGCACAGGTCCAGGTCCAGAATCGAAATCGGAGACAGAGTTATCACATTTGGTATGTAACTACATTTATCACAACTTAATATGACAACTCAAATAACTTTTGCCTGGCAGGGTTTCAGGCAGGACTTGTTCTCCGCCTGGCTGGGCCGGCTTGTCACATTTGGCCAACACTAATTGGAACATATATTTTTCCCCTCTTTAGGCCCCTTCGAGAGCTCTTAGCTCTTTTGGATGATGTACGTGCAGTGCTGGATGCGATTTATGCATCCTCTCTGGCCCCTCAACATAAAAATATAAAGATATCAACTCACTGCTACAAATAGTTACCAAAACTTTGAGCTAAGAATGTTTTTTTTTTTTTTTTTAATTTTTTTTAAAGAACGAAAGAATAAATATGTATATAGGTAGTGTGTGGGCGACCCCACCCGAGGCTCTGGAGGCATCAATAATTCATAACGCTAATTAATAACGCCCCAGTTCAAATGCCTTGCGTGCGCCTTGAGATGAAAGGCCAAAAAGCCGACACTGCCGCCGCATAACAGGATAATGAACCCCCGCCAAAAAAATAAAAAAAAAAAACATATAAGAAACAAACTAAAAGTTTGGCTTAAGCCCCAGCTCATCCCCAAAAACCTTATTGAAATTCAAATAAATCGGTAACGCTGGCTGAACGACGCCTGCAACTTTTGGCCTCTTTTGATTGCCTTGTTCTGTTTAATATTCTTTCAAAGGGTGTTGTGAAATTTTTATAAAAATAAGGATAGTCTAGGGATAAATAAAATAAAATTTAATATATTTAAAAAATAATAATAGAAAGTACAGGATTTATGTTTCTTAAAACCGAGGGTTTTAAAACACACCCTCTTTAAAGAGGGTTAAGTGTGAAGTCGCTGACTATTTTTATATTTAAAACTATAATATTCAATATATATAATAGTTAAAATTTAAAACTGAAATTGGCTTGACTTAAGTCTTATTTATTAAATTTTAGTTTTGTTTAAGTAGCTTAAAGTATTTCCAATCTTGTTCTTTGAAAGAGTATCTCTAGTTTCTCCATAACCTTTCTCATAAATTTCCTTTAATTTTGTTGGGTTTTGGTTTTTCCTGTTGGTTGTTCGACGCTTTATGTTACTTTATTTTACTTTTTTATTTTCATTTTTTTGTTTATTGGCTATCGGGGCGTTTGCATCGCGCCTTAGGTGTAAAAATAAATGTTTCAAGTAACAACTTCTTAAAGAGCTGAATTATGAGCCAGGACTGGGACTGCGTCTGGCCATCAATCCTCTGGTCGAGCCTATAATTTGGTCAAATTTTTCGGTCCTGATTGATGCCGGGCGGTTTGTTTTTATATATTTTTTTTTCTGTTTTCTTGTTTCAATGCCACAATGTTGCTGGAGTGGCGCGCCAAGAAATCTATTAAAGAACATACATATATCCTTTTTATTTCAAGCCAAAAAGCAGCTGGAAAATGACAAAAAAAGGGGGCAACAAACCAAATCAAATGGCCATTTGTCAGATTCCCAGTGGGGGATATCAGTAGTGCCTTGGAAAGGTGAAAGTTCTTCCGGCTAAGCCTTCCCCGACGTACATATATGAACATTCCTTGTGTATCCCTTGGAAAACCCATTTCCATTTCCATGAGATCCCCGACAACAATTGCATTGAGTTGTCAAGTGTCAGCGTTGACATTGGGAAGAAAATAAAAAAGGCTAGAGGGCTCTGGAGGAGCTGCAGTTCCCAAGGACAATTGAGGCTCCTTTTGTCCTGGGCTGCCCTTTAATGTGTCAAAATATAGTCTGATCCGTATTCTATTCGGCGTTTGTTTTTCTAATGCAAAGTGATTTATTGTCTGTCTTGGGGTTATTGTTCCAACGATCTTATATCTGGGATATGGGTGCGTGGGAGCGAAGGATTTGTTCCACGGAGAAAGGCTTTCTTTTTGTGTCAAGTCTAGGAAATGGAAAGTGCCAAGTAGTGCTCAAAGGAGACTATATTATAAAGACATCAATTTGTAGAATAAACACATAAACAGGCACATCTTCAATTCAGGGAAAGTCTGGGAAAAGGAAAGGGGATTCCTTTTTTGGGGGAATATTATAATGAAATATTTAAATTTTGATCTTTAAAAAGTAGTTTGAGGTTTTAATATTAAGGCTATATATATTTTATATAAAAAATAGTTTGATATGAATGAATTCTACATTGGTTTTCTATTTCTATATATCTAGGTATTATTGTTATACAAAAATCTATAAGATGTATAAGTATTTTAGAAAGAATTTTAAATAATACATTTTCAACATTATGATATGTTCCAAAATCATGTAGTTCATTTGCAAAAGTTCGATTTACTGATATATTTAATAATTGAAGAGTAGATAGATTAGATATATAAGAGACACAATGAAGATAAATGTTTGAAAATATTCATGGAAAGATCTATGAAGAATTCTCTTGGGTTAGTAGATAAAGTAAATTATTATAAAATAAATGGTTATAAAATAATAGTAAAGACAGGCTCCTCTTCAATGATATTTTTTCTTTTTTGAATAATTCATGAGATCTATATATATTATCGTATCACCCGGGGAAATCCCCCACTTAAACTATGTTCTCTTTATATTTTTACTCCAAAATGACGTATCTCCCTAAGAATTTGCATTTCAATCGAATTAGCACAGCAAATACAATTATTTTAGATAAGATATAGCTGAGAAAATAGCACCCCCGTCTCTGACAATCACTTCTCTTTAGATTCTAGATTCTTGTAGATTATAGCACGTGTCTTTGCACTCAAGGGCTATGGCTTTACTACCTGAATGGGGCCGGATACCTGGGGTTAGCCAAGGTACATTATTTATATGGCCAAGTCGGAGACCGTAGAAGGGTTAACGCTGATCTGGCTGTTTGGGATTAGTATTAACGGTTTACGAGGATAACTCGACGACCAGTTACGATCTACATTATGCACAGGCAGTGCAATCTGCATTACAGCCCGCACATCCTGGCCAAAAGCCACCAGCCATCAGCCAGGCAATTAATGGCCATTTGGTAGTGGCTCCAAGTGCTACCCGCATAAACCTGGCTAAAATAACAAGCGGGCCTGGGCCCACCAATAACCCCCATATTTTCCACAAAACAAAAACTTGTTTTTATGTTTATGATTTTTTTGCTTTATTTTCTTGGCAACAACTTAGTTATGATGTTTCGAAAAAAAATATGTATTTGATTATTTTATAAATAATTTTAATTTATACTGGTCTCGTGGTCTTAAACTATTCAAAAAAATTCTCTTAAAATAAAGTTGACGACAAAAAAAAATGGAATATTTTCTAGGATGATCGTGTAAGGCTGAGAGTGATTATTTACAATTTGAGGCACTTGGTTCAACTCAACATTGACTAGAAGAGAACAGGACATGGGCAGGAGGATCACTGCTCCTGCCACAGGGAGATGTAGTCGAGGATCTCCTCGTCATCCGGGGTGCAGTCCTCCTCGTCCAGTTGAAAGTGTTCGTACGGCTCGAATTTCATTTGCAGCTGGGAATGGGAGTGCGAGTGCGAGTGGGTTTCCGTGTCCAGATCAATGTCCAGGTGAGAGCCCAACTGCTGGGGGGCTGCCTCGTAGGTGCCCGAGTCGAAGGACATGCTGGAGTTGAAGGAGGAGGTGGGCGAGTGGCAGGATGTGGCGGTGATGCCCACAGGAGTTGTTGTCGCATTATTGCTGGCCGCCACATTGCTGTTCAGAGAGATGGCTGTCAGTGGCTGGTGGGGGAACTGCTGGCGCTGCAACTGCTGCTGTTGCTGGAGGGGATTGACGGCAGGATTCGCTGGATAGTAAAGGTTGTGACCGGAAGAGCTGCAGGAGCTGCTACCGGAGCTGTGGCTGCTCGACTCGTCTAGGCAGAGCTGCAGTTGGGTCACCGTCTGGCTGACGCTCGGGCCTCCGTTCAGATCGTCCACCAGGTCCTGCAGCCGGCGTATGTACTCCACGGCGATCCTCAGAGTGTCCACCTTGGAGATCTTCTTGTGCGGACCCCGGCCACCGCCCTTGGTCAGGTCGGCGATGATGGACTGGGGGATGTGCTGCCTCAGCCGGGCGAAGCTGTTGTTCACCTGCTTGACGCGATTCCTTTCCCGGGCATTCCGCCGCTGGACGGACTGTGACTGGTCGACGTTGTAGGGCGCCGGCGAGGATCCGGCCGATGCCAGAGCCATGCCGCGTGGCGTGTACTTCCGGGTCTTGATCTGAGCCGGACTGTTTTGGTTCTGATTCTGATTGGAAGTGGGCGATGGCGCCGGCATGATGTGTTGATAGCGGAAGGCCTTGCTGGCCGTGTTGATTGTGGTGGGGAATAGATCGATCACACTCGATGACATGGTTTATAAACTTTTCTTAAATAATTCTTTTAATTATTTTTTGTTTTTAATCTTTTGTGATAAAAACACAAGCACGTCGTCGTCGATCGTACGGCGAAACAGAAAAAAATATAGTTTTGTAGAAAGCAGAGCTGAGGGTTTCTGAACTTGATCACAAGACACCTTGCACAAGAATGAGTCCCTTCGTCCTAAACCCTCATGTTTTGTACCCTTTTCTCGGCCAGAGCCAGAGAGTGGCTCAAGAGAGAGAGCAGCAGCAGCAGAGAGAGTGTCTGCCGGTTAGAGCGCACAGGTAACCTGTGGCAGGTAAGGAAAGCCTTAGGCCACAGGTAGTTGCAACCGCTACCCTGTTGCTGCTCTCTTTCTCTCACTCGCCGTAAACTGTTCCCACTCAGGCTATCGCTCAGGGCTCAGGCACAAAACTCACTCAACGATCACTCACTCATTGCCTGCACTCGTTCTGAGTGGCTCCTTCCTGGGGGCTGGCATGCCAGAAATTTGATTTCCGTGTTAATTAACTTAGCAAAAGTCGCGATCTGAGGGCCGCCAATTTCATGTGCAGCTCACGCACGCCCCTTTATTCATTAGCGCCGCCGTTGCCTTTAAGGACTCTTGGACTTTAGTTGCTAAAGTCGCCCCACCAGCTAGCCACTCAACTTATTAGCCATTCAGAGTCTGGCCCTGGAAGGTGTTCGAACAATTTCACATATTCCTCTAATTAAATGATCAAAGGATCACAACTTTTTCACCCAAAACACGCCACATGTGACAACACAAATATATATATAGAAAAGTTGATCAAGTACAGTGGATATAGGTTATAACACGATGATTTAATATAGGGGTTACCCTATTATGAAGGTTTTAAAGACGTAGGAATATCTTAGCTACATAGTATAAGGAATATCTTTAACTAAATTTCAAAAAATGTTTCTTTTTTTTTTATACCATAATTTGTTTTCCTTATGGGTTCTATTATAACCCATATCTATGTGTTATTGCTCTATTCTTTAAATATATATAATATATTTTAGTATATATAAAATTTTAATTAGAAAACAAGCTTAAAATATATTATTAGGAAACGTTTCAGACTTATCATTAACTATTATCAAAGACTTTAACAAGAAAGCTTATAAAATAAAATCTTTGTCCATTAAAATTCCATGTAATACTACCAAAAACCTCAAAACAAAAGTACTTTATATCTATTATATATACAAGTTTTATTTTTGGAAATGAAAAAGACATTCATAATTGCCATAATAAAGATATTCAATCATATTCATAAACTTTCTTCGGAGACCTTAAATCTATTAGACCTATAAAGCTATAAAATAAAGTCTATTTCCATCAAAACTCTATAGAAAAACCTCAAGTCCAAAATGCGTATACCCCTTCCCACTTCCGAGTGATTACTGTATTTGTAAAATATCGCCGATCGATGCATTCGATCAACCATTCGACGATGATCGTGCTGTCGGCCGAGAGTTGCAACTTCCGCTTGGTCTTTTGCACAAAAGTCAAGCTATCGCACTCTTTCTACCGCCAGGCCACCGTCTCTTTTCCTTCATTTTGTCACGATCATTAATCGAGTGAAAGAAAGAGAGAGCCGAACAAGTAAAGGTAAGAGTAAGAGCGATTTGGCGGCCAGGTGTAAGTCGGCGGCGTTGGATTTTTATTGTTTTGCAAAAATTCAACTCGTTCCCTTTGTTTTGCCAGCCAGCCAGTCAGTCAGTCTGCCGGTCTGCCAGTCAGTCAGTCAGCCAGCATTTTCCATCATCGGTCACAAAAACCATTCGGTAGCACATTAACATTTGCCAAAAATCCCAGGACCCCCACAAAAACCCACAAAATCGATCAGAAAAATGCAAAATCAAAACCCGAAACCGAAACCAAAAACCCCGAAAAACCCAAAAACCTTTTCAAAACCATGACGGCGCTTCTCTGTGTACTTTGTATCCTTTGACAATTTCCATTTGCCATCCTTTATCCTTTTTCTTTCAATTTTTTTTTTTGCATGCTGCATCTATCAAAATTTTGTGCATTGTAATGCTCCAGGATAGAGTTCCATTATTTTGGCATCATTAACACGTTCATTGTTCGGCGAAAATGTCGCCGAAATTTTTGGCCATCCTTTTCCGACTTTCTATTCAAATTTTCCCATTTTATTTTTTTTGCATTTTTCCGATTTGGTTTCACGGGCATTGTGACTATCTGGTGATAAATGTCTAGGTTGAAATGCTGGTGAAATGCCGAGAATGGGGTCCTTAAAGGATCCTTGTGGATGATCTATTGTGGCCAAAGGACACTGTCCCTTTGAAGTGGAATCCATTTGCGCAATGATTGATAGACTCGATCGATACGAGCGTGTAATTATTGTTTTCCTAACATCTTTTCTTATCTCTCTGTTTTCGCCAAAAAGCCAAAAGTCAAATCCTGGTCAGGATTTTAGGGCCAACATGGATCTTACATGCAGATCTACGGGGCTCATATGATTTGCCTCGTGTCCTTGTAAGACCGGTGAGATCTTAAGTCTCGATCATTATCCTTACGATCGTATCGGATTCTACCTGATCCGGATGTGTAATCTTATGCTGCAGGACCTTCGGGATCATATATGCAGATGATCATGATAATGATGATCACCGGTAGCTGAAGATTATTTTTGGTTGAAAGGATCTGTGGGATGTGCGGGTGAAAAGGATTTAAAAGCTTGAGAAAATCTTATAGGGTTTTAGAAAATTTTTAGAAAAGGTTTCAAAAACTTTAAGAAGAACTTTTGATTGGGAATATATAGTAGTTACATATATCCGGAACTTAGAGGGTTTCTTTTAAAATAACAAATATTAGTGTATAGTTTCTGTATTTAATATTGATAAAATATTTTTCATATTTTTCAAAAACCCAAAAACATCTCTGTAATAATAATTTCCTTTTTTATGTAATTTTTGTTTCCCAAAAAAAACCGAAAAAAGAAATCATCCCCGTAAGCGTTGTAACCTGTAACTTCGGCAACCGGTAAACAACTTTTAATATCCTTTTTGCCTATATCTTTTTTTTTGGTTTGTTTTGTTTTTGTTATTTTATTTTTTATTTCGCTGGTCCTGCAACGCTTGGAAGATTTAAATGCGTAATTACTTTGATATGAAGCATAGTTCCGGCCGCGAACGGGAAAAACGGTCAACAGGAGCAATCAAACAGGACCAAAAAGGGGGCGACCAACATGAAGGAGCAGCGCGTGCGTTAATTGCGTGCAAGTGAGATGGCCGGTTCCAGCGACAGGAACAGGATATGTCCACATATATATATATATCCTGATCAGAGAAGCAAAGCGACGCGTGCGTCGTTTTTCCAACGAAACTTGAAATGCAAAAATGAATGTTTTTTAATGTTAATTGAAACGAGTTTCCGTGGCCAGGACCTGCTAAGGATCGTCGGGGGAAATGGTAAGGGGTGGGGAGTAGTGGATAGGATATATGTATATATATTACACGTGCCAGGGCACTGAAAAAAATACTTAGTTTGAATTATAAGTAGGTTTTTCTTGAAACCTTTTATTCCTTAAAAATAATTTTCCTAAAATATATTTAATAAATTTCTATTAAAATTAGTAAAATACCTCCTTGTTTTTCCCAAAGTGCAATTGCTAGTTGTTGCTTTCGCCCTATTTCTGGGCTTCCTCACATTCGTAGTTTAATATTTTAATTAAATGCAGGATCAGGCGCAGGACTCGCTCGACACCCCACCCCTCAGACCTGCCCTGCCGTGCCCCGGAGCCAGGACTCGTCCCCCCACCGATCGTGCCACAAAGCCATGGCGACGCGTGGCAGGTGTATTTAAGCGACCGTATTGAGATCGCCGAGGGAAAAACACGGGGCACGGGCTTAGACAGCCATTGCCCTACACAGTCATACACACCTATGTATATATTTTGGAAATACATATATATTCTTCTACCTTTCCCTGATCTGCCAGCTGAAAAATAAAACGACGGCACACACAAATAAAATGAAAACACACGCTCATTTGCTAGGGGTTGCTACTTCAATTCCTGCTGCTTTTTCTTTATATCTCCGTATATGTATTTTTTTCTTCATTTGCCCCGAGAGATGCACTTTAGTATCCACCACTCGACACAAAATAGGGGAGCCAAGACCCAAAGTCAAAGTCAAAGATACTAAGATACGTGGAGATACTGGCCGGGGGATAAAGATACATCCACCAGATACCTGCCAACGGCGCATTGAACTTTGGCCAGAAAAGTGAACCCAAAAGTTAAGCTCGTCATTCCAAATCAAACAAAGGGGATGTCTTTCTGATTTCGATTTTGCTCTTCCATAGGGATATATATTTTTATACCCTTGCAGAGGGTATTATAATTTTGTCCAAAAGTGTGCAACGCAGTGAAGGAGACATCTCCGACCCTATAAAGTATATATATTCATGATCAGGATCACCTCCTGAGTTGATATGAGCATGTCCGTCTGTCCGTCTGTCTGTCCGTCTGTCTGTCCGTCTGTCTGTCTGTCTGTTTCTACGCGAACTAGTCTCTCAGTTTTAAAGCTATCGTCTTGAAACTTTGCACACACCCTTCTTTCCTTTGCACGCAGTATATAAGTCGGAACGGCCCGGATCGGCCGACTATATCCTATAGCTGCCATATAACTGATTGATCGGAAATGGTATAACTTTGGTGTTTTTAGAGTTAGAGAGTTCAAATTTGACACGAGAGCTATTTTTGGCAAACCATTACGACGTGCCAAATTTCATAAGGATCGGCTGACTATATCCTATAGCTGCCATATAACTGAACGATCGAAAATGACCCAACTTTTGTGTTTTTGAAGATAGAAGTTTGGGACATTTTTAGGTTTGGTTTTTGTATTATAATAAATTGGGTTATATTATCATATTCTCATAAGGATCGGCCAACTATATCCGATGTTTGCGATATATATCCGGTTTTAGCTGCAAGGGTATATAAACTTCGGCTCCGCCCGAAGTTAGCTTTCCTTTCTTGTTTTCTTATGGAAGTGTAGTTTTTAAGCTATAGTACAAAAATATATTAAAACATAACTTAAAACATGAAAGGAAGTTTTCTTTATATCTTGAACGTAAACTTGTAGAATACTTTCTATTTTTGGGAAGTCTTTA